TAGCAAGAACTATACTTTAATAATTTTCAACGTACACTAGAGGCATTTATACTATAAAATAATATTTTATGGTATATTATTTAAGTAAATGTTTAATTTAATGTATATAATATATTGCAATTTTGTAGTCTTCATATAGATCCACTTTTTTGTGTATCAAAACTTTACGGGGACCGAAAAATATGAAGAATATATCAATAGAAGATAGGACCTTTTTCTTTTATTACTTTGGAATATTTTTTTTAAGATTGTTGTTGGATGATATCTTTATCAAAGTTCTACACCCAAATTCTAACATTTTGGTCCCAGGAACAAGTAGCAACAGCCATGCCGTTTCCAGAAACACTAAGCGATGTTACCCGGTTTTCATGGCCTTTTAAATCACCTGTGAATGAAAGGTAAAATTAATTTTAATTGACTGGTATTATTATAGATTCTTCTTTAAGTCTAAAGTCTACAATTTACCATTGTATTGATTCTTCAATGTATCCCATATATGAATGGTATTGTCGTCACTTCCGCAGAATATAAATCTTCCGCTAAAGGATAAACCACAAGATGTAAATCCAGGATTTGAATTTGGAGGCTTAAACGTAGCTAACTGCTGATCCGATCTTAAATCCCACAATCTCGCCGTTTTATCTTCCGAAGCTGTTACAAAACCTTGACCCGACGGATGGAACTAAATCAAATATAACTTTTAGTGTTACATACTAGGCAGACATTTTTGTAAGTCATGCAAGTCATATAATTTAAAAAAAAGCTTTACATTGTGTTCGTATTTGTTAAATAACTAATAATAGAATATACTTTTTATACTAACACAAACGGAGTTTACATCAGATTCATGTCCAAAGAATGTTTGCTTCGCGGTTTCTTCTCTTAGATCCCATAGTTTACATGTTCTATCCACCGATCCCGTAATATACGTGTTTCCATCCGGAGATAAACTAATACTAACCACATCTCCAGCGTGCGCGCAAAAGTCTGTAGTTTTTTTATTTGCTTCTAAATCCCATATACAGCTAAAAAGATATTGGAATTATAAAAAATGAATAATAACTATTTTCTATTATTGTTTCTAGATTCAGGTACATTTTCATGTCACCGGATCCAGTAATAATTCTCTTATCTTCCAAAAATCTGCAGGACGAGAGAAATCCTTCATATCCTAATAACTCTCGAACAATCTTAGCTGATCCTGTCGCATCACGATTGTTCACATCATAGACGGTGCACATATTGTCCATACCACCGCAAGCAACGAAATTTCCCGATGGCGCAAAAGCTACCGACATTACCCATGCTGAGCGTAATGGAATTACTTGGACTTTGTTACCAGTCCATGAATCCCAAATGATCAATTTTCCGTCTAGTGAACCAGTCACGCAATGCCTGGAAAAAGATTCTCATTTTGAGTGTTCAAGATGGAAACACGATCGTTATGGCTGATTTCATGTTGAAAATTAAAGGATCAATGATCAATACTGACCTACTATCACCACTATAATGCACCGAATTCACTTTATTGATATGTCCTTTCAGTAATTTTTTCGTAGATAATTTGACTTTTGGAGCATCAGGTACACTACTACATGCTTCTTCCAAAGTTGTATCTTGTTGTTTCTTTTGATCTTCCTAATGCAATAAACCAAATTTTTAATTAGTATCGAAGCATAAATTTATTACAACTTTTTTTTATTTAATTAACAAATGACCTATATTTTTTTTAATACGACCTTGCATTTGTTGATCAGATCTTCTAATTCTTTTTTTAAAGCTACCGTCTCCGCATCATCCTTGCCCATTTTTTGGTTGAGTGTTTTATTTGGAAACTACTGTGGAATTGAGGACGAAACACTGACGATGATAGGCATACGGCTACTGCGAACAAATTTTTATCAAAATGTAAAAGAAGCCTCAGCATCGTCTATATTGCTGCTCCAGTAATCGTATTAAATTGACGCTTAATCCTATTTGTTGAGCATTAGTTCGGCTCTCTGACCTAACTTAATTACCTACATATACAATAACTCTTATTATTCCTTGTACGTAACTCTTTTTTTATAATGTAACTGTTTTTTATAATATTAAGATTCCTATTATTTATTGTATTAAAAAATATCTTAAAATTGCAGGAAGTGGAAAGAAGCAAAAAAGTATACGGTTACGGTATAAGATCTTACAAAAAACGTAATCCGTCGCGCTTTCGAATTCCATTTCACCTATAAATGATTCGATTTGTTTAGATCGATTTAGTCCTATCGGCTTATCGATCAGAAATAGATTTAAATATCGTAACTTATTTATAAATATCTTAACAGAATATATTTGTAGTAAATTGTAATAACCAAGATTCTTTTCATATCCTATTTTTATTGCTAAAATATGAATATAAATTTAAAAAGAAAGTGCAGTGTATTATATAAAAATATTCATTTAAGAATTTAAAAAATTTTTCTTTAATAAGTATAGAAAAAATGTATAGTTTAACTGTGTAACTAACTACAAAGTCATGATGTATAGAAGCAGAAATATTCTGTTAATCGGTATTTTAATATTACAATATGTAGGTGTTGATGCCTTAATTAAAGAGCATTACATCAATTTACGAGACGATAATGAAAGTGCAACATGTGCTGGAGACTCGACGAATATATTTAAACAGATTATTGATAAATGCTGTAAAACAAATATAAAATCTTGTGATAAGAACCCAAAGGGTAAGTTACCTTGCATTATATAATTATAAAACTAGATATAATATATTTTTTCAAGCTTTATTATCCTAATAGTAAACAATAAAATAATGATAACAATAATGAAATAGTTAATAATGAAAAAGTGATTTTCGATATATTCAAATAATTTACAAAGGGTTACCAACTACATTCCAAGTTTTATTAAGTTGGTATATTGTAAAGTGACATCTTCAAATGTTATCGACAATGCACATGTTAGTTATGCAGTCGATAACTGTGCAATGTGAATACGCAATGTGTCTGTGTTTTAATTTTTAGCTTCTAAAATATCATTATCTCATGTTTAACATTACAGAATTCTAAAGGTACAATAAAATCATTTTATTATTTTAAATTTATAACAAAATGGGAGTGATATAACGAGTACTGAAATTTCATTTTATAATTTGTATTATTCTCAATATTATTAGATTAATTAAGATATAAATTGGTAACTTATAGTATTTAAACCATTGTTTGTGTATCACATAATTGAAGATGTCCACGAAAACTTTGTCGCGTTTCCTCGAAATGGTAAACGAAAGACAAGTGCCGAACGTAGTTGACGAAGGTAGTAACTTTCGTTCAAAAAGTGTGGGAGTAGCAACGAACTTGCTTTCCGTTCTTCGAGGCTAGTCTTAGTCAGAACAGTGCATTTGTTACGTCCTCCTGCGTGTTTACGATCTTTTTCGGTTCAAAATGCGTGCAAAGAACGTTGGATGCTGTCTTTTTTGGAGTCTACTTCTAACATACCACGTGGTTAGTGAGACTCTTCCATCAACAGACAAAGACGGTAATAGTTTCATTGTAGTTCTTTTAATTCTTTGACAAGGAGAAGGGTATTTATCCGTTTCATATTTTTGTTTTTGACAAAATTTATCTAAATTAATTTTTGTGAAGAGAAGGTAAATTGAATCAGTTGTTATTATTGATCTTGTCAGCCTTAATTCTTAATTTCGATTATATTGTATGATCAATTAGTTCGAAAATATTTTTTAGCTTGTTTTATTATTTATTACTATTTTTTGTAATTATACATATTTTATCGAGTATACTGTATCAATTATATAAATTTGCATAAAATAATTATTTTAAAAAATTATTTAAATTAAATGATATTAAGATTGTGATGTATTTTTTAAATAATTTTATAATTTTTACTAAAATTGTTACAATTTATTTATAATAAAAAATTTCTTTTATATTTTCTTATCTGACACATTTTTAATTTGTTATGTGTTTGATTTGTAATATGATATATTTAGTACAAAAATTTTCAGAATATTGACCCTAAAAGATCATAAAGACCATAAGATCATATAAATATTAAACCTTTTAATCGGTTTTTTGAAAATCTATGTATTTTTATATTGATGAAACTTAGAAATTATTTACTTTTATTTATCAAGTGGCTGAGAGAAAAACGGTTGACCTCTTTCAATTTATCAATGTATGAGATTAGAATAATTTTATCATGGAACATAGAATTAGGTATTTTTTTATCATTACTTCATTGCCAATATGTTAGCATTCTGAAATTACTGTACACGCTAGAGAACAAAAAGTAATTATTAAAAGTTATTTACATTAAATAAACAATTTATTAATAGATTAATTGAATTTATTAATAATAAAATCCATGATGATTTATAAACATAAATTGCTGCATATATGTAGTATATATTCATCTATACGTTCAATTAATGGCTGGGATAGTTAGAGGAATAATTGGAACAATAAAGGCAGATCACATTTGAAGGCAAACACGTGCAGCGATATGCATTCTTGAATCTCCACGGAGCAATATGACGTCTCCTTTGATGACATTATTTTTAGCAGCAATAAGAAAAAAAAAATGCATTTTACAGTTATTATAATGCACTGAATGCACAAAAAGGAAGACTTAACTGTTTTTTGTAATTTACTTATTCACAGTTTGATGAATAATGAGATAATTGGTGACATTATTATCTTTCCATTTCCGGTTACATCGGTGTATGTGATACTTTCGAGATGTTTCTCTTATATATTCGGTCATATTACAGCAGTTATTTTTACCCCACACATTTTTAAAAATATTTTTTATTTATTAGAAAAACAATTACTACTTTTGGTTAAATTTAAAAATCTTTATTTGAGAATAAGTATAACTATATATTATCAATGTATAGCGCATATATTATATTAATTGTATATCGTATTAATGCAAAGAATTATTATAGAACTGAATACATGTGAAAATAATTTAATTCTTTTTATAAAAAGGTAAAATTCATTTTGGTTCTTTACTTTAAAAAAGTATGCAATCGGTAAATTTGCGTATCAGGTTTCATAATAGTGCGCCATTTTAGCAGTTGAAATTGCAACATTATATGAATCCGGTGGTTCGTCGAGAAGTGACGTGACTCTTCGCACGAATGGGCAAGCCTGTTTATATTACATTCGAATCATGATGTCACGCAGAAAATGTAGCACTGATGAGAATCGTGCTTGCCCAGCTTTTTCTTGTTCAATCTACCAGGCTTATGTGTTCATACTATTTCGCCAGAAATAGATAAACCCTTAGATATGGTAGAGTCAAATACCCTGGATACTTGGTAGAGTCAAATATGCTTTATAGAAAAGGAACATAAGGAGTGAAAATTTTTCACGATATTATAGAGCTTATTTAAAAAACTGGAAAATTATATAAACATTTAAAATTTGTTTATTAGTTGATTTCTTGAATTCTAAACTGGCATCTTCAAATATTTTATAATATAATAATATATTATATTAATAATAATTAATAATAATTGAAAATTACATAATTTATAAAATTTTTATTCATCGTCTTGGTGCACGTCCGTTATTTAGGTTTATATACTCGTAAATAAAACGATTGACTAAATTCAACTGAATTAATGTGAGTTACTCGAAATCACTTGTACTTAAGGATTATTCTCTTTTTACGTATTAAACCGACACATATTATATCGATTTTTCTACTCTTCTTTTTAAATATTAATACTTATTTTTTTACATTGTAGATGTACTTGTGCTTACCGTCGCCTCGAATGAAACCGATGGCTACAAGAGATTTCTCAGATCGGTTGAAGTTTATGGATTTCGCGATAACTTAAAAGTCCTTGGTTTGGGAGAACCCTGGCTTGGTGGTAACATGAAGAGTGTAGGAGGAGGGTATAAAGTAAATCTTCTGAAGGAAGCCCTTGCAAACTATCAAAATGATAATCAGACGATTGTTATATTTACAGACAGGTTCTTTGCATATTTAATTTTTAATTTGTTCAGTTTTAACATGTATTTTAATAATTATCCTTATGTTTCAGTTATGATGTAATATACCTAAGCGGTTTAGCAGAAATCGTTAATAGATTTAAGAGTATGAACACTAGAGTTTTATTTGCTGCAGAAGGAAACTGTTGGCCAGATAAATGGCTAGCTTCTAAGTATCCTCGCACAACTCAAGGAAAACGTTTCTTAAATTCTGGAGGTTTCATCGGTTATGCCTCAGATATTTACGCGGTTTTGACATATGCCCCGATAGAAAATACGGCTGACGATCAGTTATTCTACACCTGGGCATACCTCGATGAAGAAAAGGAACGCCATAACATTATGTTAGATCATAAATCTGTAATATTTCAGAATCTCTATGGTGCTGTAGGTAAGTAAGTAAAGAACATTTAATTTCGTTGAATTAAATGAAAAAATTTAATACATTTATTTTTGTATAGCTGACGTGGAACTAAAATTTGAGGGTGGAAAAGCTTCACTTTTAAATACTGTTTATAACACAGAACCATTAATACTTCATGGAAATGGTAACAGTAAATTATCATTGAATTCCCTGGGCAATTATTTGGCTCAAGCGTGGAGTCCTGAAGAAGGATGTATAATGTGCTGGGAAGGAACAATAGAATTGGATAAAACAAGTCCAGAATCATATCCGATTATATTAATCGCCATATTTATCGAACAGCCGACTCCTTTTTTGAATGAATTTCTAACTACAGTATCTCAGCAAGCTTATCCAAAATCAAGATTACATTTGTTTGTTCATAACAAAGAGAAGTATCATCAAGATGTAGTTAATAGCTTTATGAAGACAGTTGGAAGGGAGTATAGAAGCAGCAAGCAAATTTCTGCAAACGACAATATTAATGAAGTTAATGCAAGAAACTTGGCTATGTATGTACCAAAGGTGTATTTAACTAAATTATTTTTAATTAGATTTCTTCATATTTTGAAATCCGTTCTTTAGGGACTATTGCTTGTTGAAGGAATGCTCTGGATATTTCTCTATTGATTCCATTTCTCATCTAAACAACCAGTATACTTTGAAGCTTCTCGTAGAACAACAGCGAGGAATCATTGCGCCATTATTAGTCAGACCGTATAAAATGTGGAGTAATTTCTGGGGAGCTATAATGGACGATGGATTCTATGCTCGAAGTTTTGATTACATGGAGATTGTGAAAAATGAACGCAGGTAACGGTCAAGAATATTATAAAAATATGTTCGTTTAATGCTGTGAATTATATTTATTGACTAACGATGTGTACGGAAACTATACATTTCGAAAATTTCGTACATTTTATATTGTTTTTATCATTAATTATTTCAAGCAATATCTTAAAAATAGTAATTTTAAACTTCAACTATGATTGCATTAAACTACTTTTTAAAACACGAACTTAATCAAAAGCAATGGAAAAGTCAGTCTTGAAGGATCTGCGGTCGATACTGTACATATTATCGGCTGTACATTCATAAACTCCAGCATCCATTTGAGTTGCAGGGTCTATTTCCAGTTTTGATTTCACCTTATCTGGTCCAATTTGCCATTCATGTACCTTCGCAAAAAAATTGTCATCGTTACATACTTTTCTATTTAATCGTTGCAATTAGAATTCTCTATACCGACATGTAGATAAAGATGAGTATAAATCTCAGCACCATCCTTAAACCATGTGATATGAGGTCGTGGGTTTCCACGTGCAGTACAAAGGAAAGCAATTTTGTGTCCTAAAACGTACTCTAAATCAAAGTGTGATGCCAATAGTATTTTTGCTCCCTAGATAAACATTTTTGAAAAATAATTAAGAGATTCAAATTGAAATTATTTGAATCAGTTTCATTTATAAATCTACGTACGTTGTGATTATTGTAATATTGATCGCTCTCTGGATCACGATACTTTCCAGTAATAGGCAGCCCTATTTGAACTCGCGATCTGGTTTTTCCTCTGCCTCGTCCTCTTCGTCCAAGAATTTCCTGACTATTTAGTAACAGTACAATTAACAAAAATAACATCATCGTAGAGCGAGGCATGATGATCTGAAAAAAGTAACAAGAATTGTACAATTAAGTCTATGCTTAAAGAAAGAAAATAGATAACTCTATGTTAATATGTCGCAGATACTCACCGAGTACAGACAACGTATGACGATCACACGGAACTCCGATGTAACTAACAGTCACCTACTCATTACTCCCCTAGTGTTCTCTCCTATCTATTACAGATGTATAGGCAAATACTGCTAAAGTACGTATATTATACATACATGTATTGGTTATTCTTTTCGTCACCTATTACATGACCTAATTGGTCATCATCAAATTCAGAATAATCTAATTTCTTTATTAATTTTATACAGCACTGACAACTTATGAATTAATTTTTATAAAAAAAAGAATTAAATGTGACGATATCAAATATCATTACCGAAACTTCTTTATCTCATTGAGGTGTGAGATAACAATTTATCACATAAATTTGTGATGCTTTGCTATTTTTAATATCTTTTATGATTTGCGCTATGGACACACTACCCTTATGAGAATCAATTGTGATTTAATGAGCAAGAGCTAGGGGAACTTTAAATTTCCAAGTATACCTTCATGTATTGAAATTCTTAACAACTTATAGCGTTTATGCATCGAAGAAAGTAGTGAAATATATATCCTTTTTTTTTATTATTTTTTTACACATGAAATATTTTTGGTATTATTATTAAAAATATAAAATTGAATGTTATTAAAAATATTAAAAAAGAAAAAACTTAAATTTATAACTTTTTAAAAATTAAGCTTGCTATTTATAATTAATTTTTAATAAGTTATACTGATTAACGTATAATTTTAAGTATTGTAATTACGAAAAAAGTACTAATTTTAATAAGAGATCATGACATAGTCTGTTCTAAAGCCACGTCGATCAACCGCATATTGATTATCAGCTTGACATTCGTAATACCCTGCATCTTTCTGTGTGGCAGGATCAATTTCCATTTTTGATTTTAACGTGTCATTACCAACAGGCCATTCATGCACCTACAAATATTCACTATATAATTTTAAAAATTTCACTTATAGAAATTACTTCTTTTTAGCAGTAAGAATACCTGGAAGAATTTATGATGATACAATTCGATTCCATCCTTCAACCAGGTGATCTCGGGCCTTGGAAATCCAGTAGCCATGCAAAAGAATGTTATTTTCCTTCCTAACATATAATCCAGTTCAAAGTGTGAAGATTTCACTATTCTTGCTCCCTACAAAACTTAAAATTAAGTAAATAATATTATATTATGAATTAGATTTTAATTATTTACAGATAACATAAAACTCACGTCTTTGTTTTCGTAGTAATTAGTACTAGCAGGATTTCTCTGAGGAATGAGAATAGGCATCCGAGACTTGTAAATTCTTCCGCCACTACGTCTGTTACCTCCTCTACCTCCTCCACCTTTTGCCGCGTCTGTACTAATCAACAGAGCGGTAAAAAAGAACAGGCACAAAAGTTGATATCTCTTCATTTGTTCTACGATTACAAAGTTCTTGATTTCTTTTTAAAAAAGTTAGTCTTTCTAAACAACGTCTTGTACACTTTACATAGGACCAGTACACTTGGATGTATCTTAGTCTTTAAGCAACTTTAATTATTCTAACTTGGAAGTATAACACTTGGGATATTATGAAATAACTTTTGCAAGATGTTAAACGTTTATGCTTATTTGATAAAAATAGTTGCTTCTATAGCAATTAAACTTCACTGAGAAGCAATTTCAATTGATGATAAAAAAGGACACAATCTTCAGGTGCTTACCGACTACTCGAAAACGCTACTTTTGACAAGTGGTCAAGCCGAATCTTTGGGCTTCACCAGTCCCTACAGCCTAAAATATGAATGTACTATGCTCGCATCTCGTCATTGGTGACAGAGTTATGAATCTCAATTGGATAATTATGCATAAGCCATTGTCAGTGTATTCAGTGGCCAATCATAACATTACAGTGATTGACTTGCGAAATATTGTTTTACAGGATTAACAAACAAGTATGTTGGTCCCTCCTACCGTTTTACGCTTGCCTCTTTGTTGGCCTTGAAATCCTGAGAATAGCAGACTGATCGAATACCCACGTTTTGTTATTTCATCAAATGATTTCTTCTTTTTTGTTATAACAATTATCATTGTGTATTTTGAATTAATTGGACATGTTAATAATGTTATGAAATGTAATTTTATACAGGATGTTCCTTTTAATTGGGAACTATTGAACATTGAAATGCATTGTATGTTATAATTAATTTATTTATAGAAGTAATGGGGAAGATTTCAATGCCAGATTCATATTTTTGAGTGGAACTTTACGTACTTTTATTTATGACGAAATTTGTTTATACGAATTCAATAACTTGATACAACATGGTATAATACAAAATCATAAATTCGTAAATTTTTAAGCAATTAGGTAAATGTTAGCAAACGGCTATTAGATTGCTTGCAAAATATAGTAACAAAGACGTGTGTGATCATTTTTAAATTTGTTGCTGAATTCTTTTCACCAAATGCTATTGCATTATAAATAAAAAAACATAAAGTTCAATTTAAAAAAGTTAATCTGACATTTAAATATTCCCCACTGACTCGCTTACAAACAAGTTATTTATACCATATAAAGTTCTTGTTTATATTAAATAATCCATGTATAAACATTTCTTTATAGTTTCAGTTCTATGCAAGATGTTCCATCATCAGTTAATGCATTATGTTTTTTCAGAGGTCTATGGAACGTGCCATTTATTAGTAATTGTTACTTAGTTAATGCAACGTTGATAAGTAACAAAAATACTCGTCCATCTTATTCAGAAGCCGATTTGGACACGGACATGGCTTTCGCTTATGCTAACAGAGAACGATCCATCTTCATGTATGTCAGTAATAGAGTTGACTTTGGACACCTCGTTAATCCAGATAGTTATGATATTACGGTGACTCATCCGGATTTGTATCAAATTTTCGATAACAAATTGAATTGGGAAAGAAAGTATATACACGAAAATTATTCAGAAAACTTTAACCCTAATCGAACTCAAATACAGGTAAAAACATTAATACTGTCTAAATTTATAAGGTGTGCTTTCGAAAGTACCAGTGATCGATTAATACCAAATGTTGAGGAAGAGAAGGAAACAGCGAATAAATTTTATTCAAAGTAATGATGCAAGGGGTAGGCTTCACTCACATTTAAGCGTATCTTTTAACGGAGAAAACATTATTTTCTTTATTATATAGCTTTCGAAGTACTGATTTAAAATTAACATTACATATTAAATTCGAACTGTATGTATGCATTATGGTAACTATAGTATGTCTGTGGTCTAATTTAACATTTTTTAGTCACAGAAATTAAAAGGTAATGCAGCTTGAAAAAAAGAAAAAAAAACGGCCAGATTTTAAATGCACATCCTATAGAAATTGAGGTCAAATATCATTATGCGTCATCGGTTATTCAACACTTGGCAATGACTACTACTACAGAGATGATAGTCGTTTAGTAACGTCTGCATAGATAAATTTCTATATATATATATCACCAAATATTTTTGATTAATATCCCCAAAACTATTAAATACTCAAAGCTAATGTTTAACATTTAGAATCTCTTTTCCCGCTTCTCAACGCTTGATGTTAATCGATCACCGTTTATTGGAAGCACATCTGACTTTTATTATTTTTCAAATATACGAATCTCTTTTTATTTAACTTGATTAAATAATTGTAGCCTTGTCCAGATGTCTACTGGTTCCCCATAGTAAACGAGAAGTTTACGAGCGATTTGATAGATGTTATGGAATCTTATGGGAAATGGTCGGATGGATCAAATAATGTATGATAACTTACAATCTTTATAATATTATATTAGTATAATAATAACATGATAGTTACGTTTTTCAGACATTACTTATAATTGTTAAAGCAACACAGGTTAAATATCTGCCATATTGTTACATTGCAATAAAGTAATTTTTCCAACAGGATCCAAGATTAACGGGTGGTTATGAAAACGTTCCAACCCGTGATATTCATATGACTCAAGTAAAATTTGAGCCACAATGGCTTTACTTTTTAAAGGAGTATGTTAGACCTCTTCAGGAACTCGTGTTCATTGGATATTTTCACGATGTAAGATATTTGTTTTTTAATGCATGCACTAATTATTTTTAGGATCCACGTATTGAAGGTGGATACGAAGCTGTACCGACACGAGATATTCACATGAAACAAGTCGGCCTCCATGAATCTTGGTTAAATTTTCTTTACGAATATGTCAGCCCTTTGCAAGAGCAAATTTTTGTAGGATACAATACAAGTGTAAGAGTTATTAAACACAATTTTGAGGGAACACGGGAATAGGCTTTTGTTGATTGCACATAGTGTTTACTTCAATCAATGCACTCTTGCACAAATTTTAAATTACAAATTCTGTTTGATAAATTAATTCGCACTATTTTCTAGTGATGGACTTCATATTCATGGCGTTGTAGGAAAAGATAGCATTAGTTTGCAAATGTACATATGTACTTGTAGATAAATATACGTATCATATAATAGTTAAGCTAATTAGGATATTTAACATAAAATGAGTCAAACAAAGGTTGAAAAAATACTCTATATTATTTTAAATATAATAACAATAAAAAATTAAGTGTTAATTAAATATGTTCATAATTTAAATTTGCAGCCACCTCGTGCATTAATGAATTTCGTCGTAAGATATCGTCCAGACGAGCAACCATTATTGAAGCCACACCATGATAGTTCAACTTATACCATCAACATTGCTCTAAATAGACGAGGAGTGGATTATGAAGGTGGAGGTTGTCGATTCATTCGATATAATTGTTCTGTTACGGACACAAAACCAGGCTGGATGTTAATGCACCCTGGAAGACTGACTCATTATCACGAAGGACTCCGAGTCACCAGTGGCACTCGATACATTATGATTTCATTCGTCGATCCTTAATTAAAACATCTAATTATAGGACATTCTCAACGATAGCAAAGAAAAAAAAGAAAAAAAAAAAGAAACTGTACAAAAGAATGTTCTACTGTGTTCTCATACATGTAAATTTATTATATACTAATGTTAGTTGAAAAACTTAAACTGCCGATGTGAACAAAGTATATATTTCAAGAAAATGAGGTTCCCGTATCGATGTTATTTTTTTAATATACAAAGAGTATATGTGTGAAACATTTAGTAATCGTAAGTGTTTGTATGGAAATAGAATGTTAACTTATACTTGTGTTTATATTTTTGATGAAATTGTGAAATGATCATTAGTAAGTCAAATTCATTTTTTTATTTTTCCTTTGTTTATTACTGTTGTTATTATTATTATTATTATTATTATTATTATTATTATTAAAAACTTGTTTTTTAAATTATTTACAACTTACGATTTCTACATAAATATTTTTACATTTTACTTTGTATCATTCAACGCGAAACTTTATTTTTTTAGCAGAACTTAAACTGTGTTTTTAAATAATAATTTAACGAACATACTAATGGGATTACACACGCCACACTGTTTAAAAAAAGCATTTTCTCATTTCAGACTTCACGTATCTATACAATTATTAATATGTTACAATATTAGGAACATTCTTAGGATAAGTAATTAGATTAACATCACTGAATAGCAAACTTTGAAAAATCGGTTTAATCATATTTCCCGCACATTTATTTACATAGTAAAAAAAAGTTTCTCGTTAGAGAATTGTAGTATGTCACAATACAACAGCAGCATAGTTAAATTTATTTAAAAGACACTTTCTGTATGGAAAAATAAGTACATTTTAAATTAATTCAAGTGTCACACAGGTTTTATCGGATCCAACTAGCGCCTTTGATTTTCGATAACTTTTCATACACATACTTAATAATTTCTTTTTATAATAGTTGTAATTAATTTACGTATACGTTACGGCTTCAGTTATTATTTGTCCGGAATGCCACACAATTTAATTAATTTTTAATGTAGCTCATGTATATATTGCAATGACGTAACTCTGCAACGTAGTAACGTATTAATACGTTATAAAAATGTTCTCTGCCAGCGAGTATTTTTATCGCATAGATATTTCATAAACACGAATGCTATTCAAATTCACAGTATCGTTTAATTGAACTAGGCATTATTTACAAGTTGTTCGATTCATAGAAAAAGATAAGATTATACATGATTTTAATAACCCGCTCGTTTCAACTCGTTTAACTGGTGTGCTAATTTTTCCTCTTTAGATCTTCTTGCTTGACCCAATTTCCTACATTCAATATACGTACTGAGGAAACGTTCGACATCGATTTTTCTATTCAAGAAGTCCTCGGCAATTCGTTCACTTTCCTCGTGACTCTCATCTGCTGCTTTCCTTAAACATTCTTTTATGTGATCTGGAGTAAATGCCTCAGACAACTTATTGTATCGTTGTATAAGCTGATCATATCTAGTCTTTAGTGCAGTGACAGTCTGTACTTTATTTGTTACGTCAGACTGCAATTCTCTAAGCTCGGGTTCTTTGGCTACATTGGCCTCTAAAAAATAGACAGAAAAAGATAGATTTTGAAAAGAACATAGTGGTATTATAATGCTTTATTGGAAATTATCTTACCGGCAGTTTTTTGGACCCAATCTATTGCATCGTCAATAGCTATGTTAATGTCTTTTAACTCGGAATGTTTATCCAGGAATTCATCTAATTTATCATCATCCTCGCTTAGTCGTTTCAATTCCTCATTAGTCAAGTTATTCAATTCTGGAAACGCTACACTTTGCCGCAACTTGATTTGCGCTTGATTCGGCAACGACTGTTGATGATAATTCGCGTTTACGTAATGCGAATTCAAATATGTTCCATGTTGATTCGAACTGTATCTCGATGAATCTGTATTATGAAGTGAACTACTTGTCGAACTTGAAATATACGTTAAATGCTGCGATGGAGAACCGAATTTCGTATGGCTATCCGTCACATATGCAGTACCTGAATTCGTGTGATTATAATTATAAATACAAGTATTCGCACTGGTAGACGAATATTGTGGATATTGAGTGGAATAGTAAGAATTGTATGATGTTGGTGGAATTTCTGGGTACTGTTGTAACGAATAAGATGGAGAATTCCTTCCTTGTGAATCTATAATACATATCACAAAAAAGTAGTAACTGGAATTGACTTCTGCCATTTTATCATAGATATTTCAAAAATATCTATAGAACTCTATACCTCTATGAGATTTCACAGATCCAGGAGAGATGTCTTCTAATAACTGTGGTGGATGTTTGCTGAACTCTCTAATGATAGCTTGAACAACACGACCAAGATCACTATGCACTGTAAACTGTCATGTAAAACCAAATGATCTTTGTGATTCTAGTCAAATATATTATGGATATAAAAGATCTTACATTAAGTAGTCCTGGTGCGCTTGTGATTTCACTATGTTCATTACACCAAGGGTGGTTTATGGGTGGAGAAACCCTAAGCACTGGTTTTTCCAACGGAAACTCCGGTGACAAAGAGACCATAATAGCCATTCTCCTTTCCCCAGCATTGAATTGTACCTGATATTCCACATCTTCTCTTAACTCTACTACACTGTAACATGAATCATACATAATAATAAGTATGATAAAAATTTTCACAATATCAAAGATGATTTACGAATGACATAGGTAAACATAAAATACTTCTTAAATTAAATAAAAAGGTTTGAAGTTAATCTCGATAAACTAGGCGTATACCTAAAATAATGACATTTCGCGTGACAGACGCGTAGAATATGAATAACAGTTACCAATTTATCTTAAATAATCCATTTGTTAAACTCTGTACTTTAAATTTATGCAAGAATCATAAAATATAGTAATTTGCATTAATAGAAAAAAAGTACAATGCGGAATTGTTAGATAAATAGAAGGATTAAAGCAAATAAGGTTACAAAAGAGAGGTTACAATCAGAAATTTCCTTACTTGTCGTTAAAAATTTTCAGAGTGTCGATTTGCCGTTTTCTCTTGACTGCAACATTCTCATTTTCGCCACGGAATATTCGCGATATCATTTAAAAGGGTTAAATCTAAATAAAACATTCGCTTTATCCTTCGACCTCCCTGTCAAAGCAACCATCCAACAGCAGAACAGCTGTTTCGGCCCTCGTCACACTTCACGGGGTAAATCGAGTGTAGTGTTAGTAATGTTCTTTGTATGTTATATATTGTCATTAAAAAAAAAAGTATCAGTGTATTTCAACTTAAATAATCATTTTGCACGCGATGACATTTGTATACACTAATTTAAATAATAATTAGCACGCATTACCACAAAGATGAAATAATAATTTCTATTTTATTATTTAATTAAGATTAATCAATCTTCGTTTCATTAATAGAAGGTGAAAATTCAATAACAAAAAATTATTTTAATAATTAGAATAATTATAAGTATATAAAAGATACAAATTGGTTAAGCATAAAAAATTGTAATAAAGTATGTGTGTAATACATACTAATTACTCGTATTCTATAATCAAAATATAAACTTTCAATTACCTATAAATATTTCTCCATTGTATGGTAATTGTTACTTATTTTTGTTAGATATAAAATACGATATTATTAGTTTATGGAACATTTGCGTATATGCAGAAAAATAATTTAACATATAGAACAATAACAAGATATGTATATGTACAATGAGAAATTTCAGTAATAAGATATGGAGAAATTGTAATATACAATCTCTTTATTTTAGGTATATCTTTTCTTTTATACTTAAATAGTTCTAAAATTGAAATCGAATATATTGTGTTCTTTATTAAAGTAACATTTATATAATACCTGAATTTTTATTTCAATAAGAAAAGGACTAGGAATCATTAAGAACGATGCCATTTCTTAAGTGCATGATTTTCAGTTACAGATCACTAGAAATTACCAGGATTATAGAATAAGGGAGGAAGTCACACTTCTCATAATGAATCTAATTGTATCTACATACTCTGTGTCATTACAAACAAGGATAAATACGGCTCCGAAAAATAATGCCACCTATTGAAAGCATGATTTTAAATGAAAAATCGCGATTTATTAACAGGAATATAGAATGTGCAAAAAAATTACCGATACCCCTGTGTAGTGTTATAGACAAAGGAAAATGATTGTAGAATGTTAAAAAGTAGAGAAACTACGAATATGCGATGTATACGTGCCTGATAGTTTTCGATAAATCAATCATCACTGAAGATTGAAGATTTATCTGTTTTTCGTAATTAATTTGTTTACATTTATGACTTTATTATACAAATAAAACTTTGACTATAATTTTAAAGACATATTTCTTAATAGATGATTAGTTATTAATGATTAATAGATTAAGAATGATTATTGCAAATACCTTTTTAATAATTTTATGTATCACTGTCACAAGTTTATAAATTTATATGCAAATCATTCTATATTTTATAATAAGTAACAAGTATATTATTTATAAAATACGGGTATAATTTTCCATATTTTATTTGTAGTCCATTCGTTATTAAAAGTATTCTAGAAAAGGTTCCATTCAATCATGTAATAAGTACATATAAATAAATACACGTATGAGTTTTAAAATACATGCATACGAATTAATAGATACTGAAGTTGTACAAATTAGGCGAGGAAAAATGATATTAATGAAAATCTATTGTCGTTGAATTAGTTTATGTAAATATTCCTTACAATTGTTAATAGTTATTTAATAAAAAATTTGTTTATAAAATTACATGGAAAAATTAGTGAAAGACCTATTTTTATCATATAACTTTAAAAGTGTGCAGATTAATATGAAAACCAAACGAATTTTTATTTTCAGTACTAATTCGATTTATTATCCACCATTAAAAACACGTAGAAGTAGCACATATTTAGTATGTACTATATATACATACTATGGTACCTACGTACTTCTTACTGTTACTCTTTTACAATCCTTTTTTGTGTACAACTTCACGCAAGGACATTGATGACCTCTTTGTACATTCTATATTTCTGTTAATAAATCGCGAATTTGAACTGTATATTATGTTCTCGATAGGTGGCACTATGCTCGGAATGTTTACACAAAGTGTGTAAAGCTCTATGTATAATGAGGACGTGTAGCTCCTTATTCAGTCTGTACTTCTGTTAACTTTTGGCGACTTTTAACTGAAACTCATGCTGTCGGAAGATATGATTGATCTAAATAATGATCCTATCACCTTTCTTGTTGAAGATAGGGTCCGAGTATATACGGAACTTACTATTCATTTATTATGGTGCAAAATATGTTTAGTTTCAGTTTTGAAATTACTTAAAAAAAACGTAAGAAAATAAAATATATTGATAAAATAAGACTATGAAATACGTTTCTCAACATTTTATTATTGAAACTTCTCATTGCACATATACATTATTGTTACAAATTACTCTGCTGCATCTACACGAATGTTACATACACTAATAATATCGTATAGAAATATTACAAACAGGTACAAAAGCTACACTACTTTCTTATCGTAGGTTTTCTTAGTTAAATTTGTTACGGATTATAAATACAATCATTCACTAGAATTTAACCCTTTATTGATGAATAATTTTCAAAATAAAAAATTCTTATATATTTTTTAATTCTTTTAATTTATTATGTAGAAAAATAAAAAGAAATCTCCTAAATCTTTAAAGTTAATCATTATAGATTTTTAGATCACATTAAAATGCTGTGTCAGAATTTAATACTTTTTTTACAGGAAATAAAGGGTTAAAAAATTTTTCAAATGGAATGCAGATCCTGCATAAGTAATTTTTCAGTTAATTAATAGGATCAATATATTCATCACAATAGACACTATTTGTAAGTATGTACAGTGTTTGTCTCGTTTCTTAATTTAAAAATTTGTTTATTATTCTCCAGCTGCTAATCATTATTATTTTATAAGAAATATTTTTTATTTTAGGAATAAAATATTTTATTAATTTTATAAATTTGTTACACAGCTGGTGAATCATAATACTTTTTCGTTACATATAAAAAAACTTGATACTTCAATCAGACCTGCAATTTATCATAACAATTATTATCCATTATGTGGAGAGATCTTTAAAACAGTGGTAAAAATTCTGTAATGCTTTAACCACTAGTTGGCAGTGATATTCTCGATTTATATTTCACTGATCACACAAAGGCAGTACAATAGAAATTTAAAGATGTTCATTTTGTACAACAAAAAACGTGCAAGCACAAATTTTATACCACAAGTACTAATTTGTATCATATTACAGTGTATTTTTATTCGCATTATAAAGACTTTACATGTTAACTAAAGTTTAACTAAAGGACAAAGGAAAATTTACAATCTTAAGTTTCCTCATTTAAAAAACTTAAAATTTTAATTAAAATTATTATTACGATTTTCACTCAAATTCATATCTTCGTAATTTCGTCGTTAACAAAAGTAATTGCTCTACAATCTGAAAGAGAACGTTGAAAACTCTCAGTACATTAAAAGATTCAAACATATACCATTGAATAGCTTACAATCAATCAGAATACTTTTGCATTAATACTAAGATTTTTAAATGCGGATTCAATTACTTGAAGGCGGTTATACTATTCGTACAAAGTTTTGTAATTACAAAGAGCCTAAAACCTACGGCTTAAAATGCATTAAAAAAATACATCCATTATTATTATGGCATTCTTCAAGGTGTACACGAGCCAAAAATAATATCTAATGTCAGATTTTGTTTTTTAAGAGTGACATTTACCCGTTTGTCGAGATCAGACAGTACATTAAATTAGTAGATACTTAAGTTAGACAGACAACTAAATAATGATATAATTCTATATTCGTTTGAATTAAAGTATCAAGTCTATGGAGAAACGAAGAGATTTACATTAAATACTATAATATTAGTTTCTACAAAACGCTCGTTTTCTGTTAAAAACATAAACATCTATCCTGTATTATCGTTCGTTTTTTTGTTTACAAAGAAAGTTCATGTCTTCATGAATCACGTAGCTCGATCGAAATCCAGTGATCGTTTGTTAGAAATGAAAAAAATATTTACAGCGACTGTACAAAAATATGTTTGTTAAACAAAATCTTTACAGACAGTCAACAGAAAAGGATACGCACAAGTTAAATATAAACTTAGATAAATTCTAGCACGATTGGTCCCATGTCTCGAATCTTTTTTCGTTTTTTCCCCTTTTTCTTGTAGAAAAAAAAGTAGCCTTTGTACACCTTAAAGCAACATACTACAACGTCCTCGCGAGACAAAGCTACTGTATTCGTGTAAAACTAGTTTGTAAAAAGACGATACTCGTCATTATTTACAGGTTTCGATCGAATCTACTTTAAACATTCCAATGTAAAAGTTACGAATAAAACTTTTGAACTTTTCTACGTTTAGAATATGTTGTTCCTTTTTTTTTTTCATTTTTTCTTTTTTCTTTTTTTTTTACAAATGCAGACACATCTGAGATGGAGATAAAAGAGGTGTGGAATATTACGTTACAAATTCGCTGCTAATTTCATATAACTATAATAGATATTGGTTCAATGATACAGTAAAATCCAATTTGAAACGAGACAATCTGGAGCTAATTTACAATCGTAAAACATTTAAATACATTTTGTTGATTTTGTAAGTATGTGAAAAAATGTAATTTTTTAAATATACTTTATATTTAAGTTTTCCTAACTCTCTCTGGTGTGTGTTTACAGTAATACAGTTTCAGATTTTGATGTCTGTATGCAATACTTAAAACAATATTGGGAGAACGTTTTGTATCTTAAATTTTACAGTGAAAAAAAACGAGCAAAATTAAGTAGACCTTTTTTTCTTTTACTCTCGAAATGAATAACTAAAAAATATACATATAGTCACTGCTTAAAAAAATAATTACACGCTCGACGTGAAAGTTACCTAGTTCCACTGGCCTAAAACTGAATATCGAGGAACGTTTCAATGCTACGCTTAAATTAGAAAAAAACGAAGCTAAAGAAGCAATGAACGAGATGAAAAGAAAAAAAAACACGAGATTTTGTCGGGAACTGAATCAGGTATACGATTCCCAACTGTTTCTACATATGCTACAAAATTTTACAAATCCGGATCCTCCTATAGCTGTCTCGTCTTTGTACTCTACCTGGTTATGCGAATCTAAGTAACTTCATATTTGTCAGGTATACAATCGCGTAAAAATTTACAATTATTACTTAGTCCAGCAATGTATAAAAAAGTATAATACATCAGTCTGGCCATTTGTTGACCAAAATACTTATCGATCTACACTGTTACTTATAATGTTTTATGCTTATTTTTTCTTTTTTCTCCTTTTTCTTCATTTCTATTCGCTTGTAGCAGTCATGGCTGCTCGAATCAATTATATGTAAAAAATTGCTCAAAAGGAAACTAGATGCATACTTCTCGTATTTACCTCGCATGTTAATTAAGATAAAAAAAGAAAAAAAAAAAGAAAGAAAAAAAATTAGATAATTCGGGCCCACATTTACAATTGTTATAAATGTAATTGTCGTCGATCTCTGCCTGTAGAAAATATTTGATACCACAATATTCCTTTTTTTTAGAAAATTTAGAGAAAAAATTCAAATACTGCAAAATACCAAATTAAATGGAATTCCATGGAAAAAAATCAAATAGTATATAAACGAATATATAGTTATTGAATTAAATGGAAATTCTAGAGTTTCATTAACATTTAATCCGAAGTAAAAAACATATAAGATGTAAATAAAATGAATTACTTTTGTATATTTGTTATTCTTTTATTTCTTCTTAAAAGGCTTGTGTATCAGTGATCTAGAGAATTATCTAGAAGCAAAGAGTTTTGATGTACAAATTATGATTATGATGGTTGCATGTAGCAAACCAGTATTCATAGAAAAATAGAAAAAAGTGTGACTTATAAAATAAATTCTATAGATTATAAAACTTCTAGATAATTCTCTTAATAGTCATTAATTTAGATACAAAAGTCTTTTATATTTCGTCAGTGAACCCTGTTATTCTATTGAAATGTATTCTCATTTACATATAAATTTGCTTTATACATCAATGGAAATGTCTTATAAAATAGAATAACAGGGTTATTGATTGTATTAAGAAGAAAAAAAGAAATTGTAGAGAAAAAGAATAGACTAGGAAACAACAGGAATATTTCTTCTGTATCAAGTATCTTCCCTAAAGCATTGTACTTGCCGATTTATCTATAGTTATAGATACGTACAAAATTAGTAATTTATAATTAGATCATAAACCTAAACTTAATCGATCTTAAGAAACGAGCTGTTTCCCGTGCCGGCTCTTAAAAGAAGAGGTGTTTTTCTTCGTGAAGTGGTCATAGGTTGATACACGTAATTCCCTTGTATCGCACCAGTTAATGTCTTTTGCCTTTTCGTATTAGAACTAAGCTCATATTCAAAAGCTTCTTGCTTTGAGATATTTAATTGCATATGTAACGATTCCTTATTGTCCTCAATATCAATTTCTTCATAAAGATGCTCGTGAATATCTAAATCACAATCTTGGCTACTCTCATCATAACTATCTGTTACTGAGTTTGCAGCTATATGACCATGAATAGATTCCTCGTACGTCGTACTTTCTTCAACTGCCTCATCACCTGAACTTTCTGTTTCCTCGGATACATCACCACTGCCGGCATACTTCATCTCACCTCTTTCAAGTAATTCTAAATGATCTGGATATATCATTGCCTTTTTGATAGCCAATGGATCTTTCCTAGACCACTTTTGTACTTCTTCATCCATCTTTGCCACTTTGGCTGGATTGATAGCCCACAGGCAACCTTTCCTCTGATTTCCATTTCCGGCAGGCTTTTCTATTTTCTCAAAACACTTGTTCAAAGATAAATTATGCCTGACAGAATTCTTCCAGCCGTTCGGTGCAGTTTTAAAGTATGGGAAATGCTCGCTGAAATAAAACATAAGCTATTATTTCTGATTTTTCTTTTTCTTGTTGTCTTTAAACAAGTATTTTTGAACAATTTAAAAAATTAAATTCTATTGAATTATTATATTTTATTAGTACCATTCTAAATTGTATAAGTATTGAAATAGAAATTGTTAATTTCAAAGCGTTATAGCAACAGTATGGCAACGAGTTACAACGAAGGGCAATGGAAGCTTGTTAAACAAAGAACAAGCCCCATATTTTCTATGGGGACTGTACCCCGGCATGCACCTGGTGTTCCAAGGGCCCCATACAAAATGGCAGCTTCCCCCTTGTGTAACTTGGGAATAAAGAAGGGAGGACAATACTTTTTCCCCTCGTGGGCCAAGTACCGGGGGGCTTCGACCAGCCCTTATCCTTCCGGCCAAATGGTCGAAAATAAGCGGCTGGCGACACATCGTTTGTCACATAGGAATCTACTCTATTGTACGTTACGTATCAAAAAAATGTTAATCACGCTTGAACTCTATCATACCGGTTTTCTTTTTTATAAATGTTCCTCCCCTCCTTCCCAAATTCAACTAAAATTTGCATTTTAAAATATTTCCTCTGATTTGAAAGTACTACATTCATAAGTTATTTTTGCTCTTTATAAAAAAAAAACAATTCATCTCCAGAACGTCATGTTCAAATTTTTCAACTTACCACATAAAATTATAGATTTCCGAAACAGGTAAAGAACCAGTCTGGCTATTTTTTAATGCCATTGCAATCAGACAGGAATATGAATAAGCCGGTTTAGGGTAAAGTTTGTCATCGTAATCTGACAGATCGAATTCTTTCTCCCTTTTCATTGTAGTGACAGTGGTAGCTCCTGGATTAACATGCACGTTGTTATTATAGATTTGTTTCCGCACGTGCTGCGGTGTCTGGTTGGGACTCTGTAGCACTTTAAAATTCTGAACCCTGATGCTGGGCATACTGTTTATTTTCGGGGTAGTCTGTGCCTTGGTATACTGAGGGGAGGTTGTTTTAGCGGCTGATATTGAAATCGTTTTTGACTTGGACGGTGTTACCGACTTTGAGACCTCCTGTTCATCCTCGGATTCTTCTTCCGTTTCTGTGATATCATTTTCATACTGTTCTGTCTCGGTATCATTTTCGATTTCATTATCTTGCTCATTCTCGTTCTCATTCTCGTTGTCGTTCTCATTTTCATTCTCGTTTTCGTTCTCATTCTCTGTGTAGCTACTACCCTCGTTCTCTGCATCCTCGTCGATGTCGATCTTTTCCTTTATATCTTTTTTGGGTGAAAACGAAAAGTGCCTTCTACTATTGTTTGGCGTAGGACTTCGGATTGCTATGTGAGGCATTACCGAGTTAGGGTTCACCATAATGGATGCTGCGTCGCTTCCGCTGAGGTCAAGATTAAAATTGCTGAAATCAAGGAATCAAGACGTCCTTTAAAATCATTTCCTTTCTGACAGAAAAAAAGATAATACACGATATTTTGATGGTATAAATAAGACACCTGTTCGAACTATTGCTGTTCCCATTGAGCAAACTGGTGGAACCAAACCATCCACTGAGATCGTTCTGGCATCCAATGGGATCATCATCCATTTCTAGAGTGGACATGTCGGTGAAATTGAAGCCCAGCTCCGTGTGTCCGCCGATAACACCCTCGATTTCGCATTTGATGTCGACATCGAGCATCTCTTGCAGCGATAGACTGTCCGTACCGAGATAGTAATCCATCGTGAGCCAAGGGTCCCTTGTCGGTCCCTGAACCAGCCCAGTACCGTGTCTACTCTCCGTATCCAACATTCACCTGACTGAAATATACGAAACACTAATTACAATTTTGTCATTTTTCTAATTATTTGTAAAATTATTTCTTTGATCAAAGACAATAAATATTCTTTGCCTCGGTGAATTATGATGGAAAATTATATTTTATAAGAAACGGTCAGCTGCAAATTTATCTTTCTTCTATCTATGTTCCAAAGAGGAGAAGAGAAAGAGAGCCAATCATTGACTGACCCTGGAAATTGCTTTATATCGTAACAGAGTTGAAATATCGCTTTCGTTAAAACTCCTATTTAAAACTTTTAGAATTTCTTAAATTCCTAAACCTCCTACAATTGGATGCACGAACTGTACTTTACAACTCGGGCCAGCAAGAATAGCGGTTGACACAACTAAGGAATTTGTAAAATATCACGTCATGGCATTAATTAAGGAAAATTACGGGTATAAAAGTCGAGCATACGTAATAAGCCTTCATGATCGATTATTCCGTCGCAATTAGTTACGCAATTAACGTCGTGATTGTACTGTGAAAATATCTAAACAGATGTAGATACATCCACAGATCAATTCGATACCATAACACCATAACAGAACAGTCTCCTGTGCTCCTTGTCAATAATACAGACCAAGCCAGCCCGCATATCTACCTCTATCTCTACGAAAAAGAAAAGAGCCCAATACCGTCGTTAATATTTTCTTCCGTACAGAAAATGAGTCGGGACATTTCGATGATTTTATCAGATCTAAGGATCATCCTCACGATCTCTTGTAGCAAGGCCAATAGATTCTCGACCGTGTCCGTACACGCGTGACCTCGCGTGCGCTCGCGTGTGTGCCGTGGTGTACACAGTGTGTACGAGCGCGCAACGAGGGTCTTGAACCCACAACCGGCTTGTGGGTGTGACTGACTCATAGTACTATAGTCGATTTACTATAGAACGCGTGGACTCGTAGTATGTGTCCTCCGTTCCCTCGCTCTTCTCTCCCAACCCCACTCTTGCTCATTTAACTATTCCACTCAGCCCCTCTTTGTCAGCTTCGTTCCGCACTGTCGAGCTATCCCCTATATCTCTCTCGCTCTCTCTCTCTCTCTCTCTCTCTCTCTCTCTTTCACCCCTCCTCCCTGCCAGCAGTTCCCCCTGTGTTCATTCTTTCTGTTCCATTCTCTGTCTCTGTCCAATTAACTTGTCCCATCCTTGTCTGGTTCAAGACTAGAAGGAACCCAGTCTGTTGTACTCTTTGATCCCCTCTTCGTTCAAAGCTCTTCTTCTCTTTCCACTATCCAGCACCGCGTGTTTTTATTTGCCAACTCTTTTTCCATGCGTTTCTTAGCACGTTTGATATCCCGTACGGGTTTTTCGCAGCTTTCTTGGTGCGTCTCTCTGCAGCCAATAATTATTTTCTTTGTCCTCCATCTCTCATATTGCTCTCCTACGTTGACAAATTTCAAAAGTTACTCTGATAAAACTCTGACGCTTCTATAAATTTGTAAAACATTACGTTTTATCATCAACGGCGGTACTCCATCTTCTTTCCCTCGGCGTCTTCCATTTCTATTCGTTTCCTTCTCGCATTCGATGGTGTTCTCCGTCGCGAAGAATCCCCTGCCCCCATCCTCTTCTAACCGACGTGTTTCTCTTCAGTCTCTGGTGGTTTGACGAGCTCGAGAAACGAAGCTCGAGCGTGGCCTACCGAACAGACTACTTAACTTGAGTTCACGTATATACATAACCTATAACTAGCGCGCTGCAGCAACCGAATCGTCAGCTAACTGTAACGCACGAAACCGAAATTAATTACGGATATACAGTTTCTTACGTGTAGATCCAAAGATCTCGAAATTCGAGATTCGAAAATTTTTTCAAAATAGTTCTGGGTGAAATTATCGTTGAATCTGAAACACGTTACAGGACGAGTATAATAAAAATCGTCTTTGCCGTTCAATCGAAATGCTGCTCTAAAAATACCAGTACAAAGTGAAAGAACTAGGCGGTCGAGTTATCGGTCGCGAAGAGGAGAAAAGAGAAGGACAAACAGAGAACTGACCCTGCTCGACGTAACTCCCATCGTGGAGTGGCCTTTACGCGCACGAGACATTCAAGTCTACGTGACTGAACGATATTCTTAGACATGCAAGCGTAATGGAACTTCGCTAGATGCACTTACACTTTGAGACTAGCCAGTTACGTTCCATCAGCTCCTAATACCCATACATGACTCTTATTAATATATCCGTGATAATTTTACACGCGAAATAAATTTACGAAAATTAAAATAATTCCTCGGGCTGGTTGCGAGTAAGAGGTTGTTTTCTCAGAAGCGGGGAATTCGCTTCACGTAAACGCTACTTCCAGCTACAAATGAGCTGCGCACGTTTACATCGCGAATTCCGTGAAATGTGCGGTTAGGTGCAATCGCGCGTGCACTACTTGGGTCATCCGCGATGAATATACAGAGCATCTGTTAACAAAATTTTCGCATCTTGCGATGCTGCAGCATAAACTAACTGGTCGATGAGAAAATGGAGCTGGAAAATGGGAAAAGAAGATGAGCAACGTCGGAGATGGGTCATCGACCTGTCGAGACCAACAAGCGGCAGCATTTATAAAACGATAAGTTAATCTCGCTAAATGAGTACCCTTCTTAAAAAGGAAAAAGAAAAAAGAAAAGAAAGAAAAATTGGAATTATAATTCTCATGGTACAGATTCGCCATATTTATTTATTTCGGACGAAAATAATTTAATCTCGAAATAAATTCTTTTGAAAATACAATTATAGGTTATGTTAAATAATACTATCACGTAAGATAATAGTGTATAATATTATACAATACTGTTAAATAATTTCTATTAATCATAAAAGGTACTTCGTTGTAGAGATATTGGAAGTCTCGTTGAACGTGATGATGTCAATGAGGATCGAATCTTCGTTTTCTTTTTTATTTTCCTTTCTGTCTTCAACGCGGCGAAGATAAATTAATCTCTGAATGGAAATTCCTGGGAAGACGAGAAAAAAGAGGAGAAACCGTGGGAGGGGCAGAAAAGAAAAACGAGGCAGACACGTTTGACGCAACCAGACACGATGGGCGCCAACATCGAGTGCACCGAACATTTTAGGCAGTGGCAGACTTGAAAACCGACGAAATTAAAACGGTCAAGGACCCAAGATTGTTATTCGTCGAGGACTTACGGGTAAAAGACCGATTTCACCAAAAATCCTCCTCGTCTTTAAATTCTTGCCATTGAAGTCATCAGCGGTCTGATGGGCAGACATGTCAGTGCCATTTTTGGCATCGCGTTGAATCTTTTGCTTAACTATCGGAAAATCGAGTTTCACGCATTTTCATTTATACATCGAAACACGTTTGCGAAGAACAGATGTACGATACATTGATAATATTAAATTGAATTATATACGTCAGGCCAAGAGAAGGCAGATTATGGATCAAAACTGACCCACCTTCGCTGACAGACTGTTGGAACGTTTCGTAGAAGAATGAGCAAGCAGTTTGATCAGAAGCAAACCCGGAGCTGGATTGAATAAGCGGTGATATTATGTATCACGGGTATCAATTGTTAAGAGATTTCTGTGGAGATACGCTCTTCAATGTCTTTGGCGAAAACTTGACCCAGGGATACGAAGAAGAAACAGCCTTGAAAAAGAATGTCCGCTTACCCGTAATAAAATCGTCGAGTATCAAATGGTCGTTCCCATTAGTCGTCGAGTAACAGGAGAAATTCGACGATCGAAGTCAAGCAAGATCAATTTTGGATCTACCAATTCCTCGACGGAATAACGACGAGAAGATCGTAAAGAGTCATTTCTGTACCACTAAAATGGAATTCCATAAAATATAACTAAAAATTCGCGTTAATTAAGATCGAATCTGCGGAATACCGTAAGCGTGTAATTTTATGCGTGGCCAATTGTGGAAAAAAAGGGTCGTCGAAAATTGTATCTCGTTCGTGCAACAGGATAATCTTTCTCCCTCGTTGCCTCTTCAAGCTCAAGTTCCGAGAAGGGTCCTTCAGCGATAGACGATCCTAAGACCCTGGAGCTATTCAACCTGAAATCCTTCGCAGGTCATAAAGGGCTCCTCTTTGTAGCTACCTCTATTTCATAGTAGTCGAACGATTCACAAGGTTTCCATCGAAGAGTTTAGTCTTATTCCCGGTCGATTTAGGCGACTTCCTGACTTCTGGAAGGTTATTTATGCTTTACACACTTCTGAACGTTTTGTGTAATTCTGTCGTAAATGAATATGAACGTAACACGGAGAGAAAACTTTCTAAAAATGATTATTATCCAACCTTCCGCGAAGATAATGAGGACTATTACGCATCGTCCACTTAGCAATAAAACAGGTACTTCTGAGTATCCATTTCCCAGCGATCAGGTACAACAAAGATTTCCGGGTTGTCCACTTTCATAATGATAATTAATTACTAGAAAATTAGAGCCACTACGAAGCTAGCCTACCGCTAGAAAAAGCAGGACATCTTAAACAGGAGACCTATTTCTCCATTTACATCGAGTAACCTCCACTAATTGCAGCACTAGGGTGCATATATTTGCACGTTTAGAAGGAAGATAATGGTCCCAGCAGGGCGTAAATGTGTAGCGTTGGCGGTTAAAGGGTTAAAAGAGCGGCAGCAACGTTGAAGTGACGTTACAACGTTATAAAACTCAACTCGAGCACGATAACTCCTCCGCGTTACAACAATCGACGAGATTTCCCTTTCACCGGGCTTTCGTAACTATGTGTGCGTGTACATGGGCGCAGCTGTGTTGCCTGGAACACCTGACGAAACGTCTGTGGCAAGACGATGCAATTGATAAACACCAAGGAGTGGGAGCAGCAGGAAGACCTGGCGAAGAAAGGGGAGAAGATCTGGTATTTCTTCCCTCTGGAAAAGCTCACCAGTTATGCAGCCTGACAGCCCAGTTTTGTACTTGTTAACCTCGAGATATCTAAAAGAAAATATGAATGTAAGAAACTGCGGTCTAGTACCTACGGGTAAG